CAACATACCTTAGAAAGAATAGCTTCTGGCTTTAAAGAAAATGTGATGATTGCTGCTAGATGTCTTCTACAGTATTTATAGTAAAATTAGAGGAACAGTTTCATATATTTGCAAGTTCTGATAAGACCAGGTCACTGTTTTTTCTGTGAGAGGCAATTATTGTACAATAGGTAACTGTAGATACATTATCTTCCAGGACACCCAATACCTGATAAGATAACTCCTGTGTGACATACAGGACAGCTGTGCATGGTACTTGACATGCGATACAAAGCACGTATACTGTACAATGCTCATTATAGACTATTATTATTAATATCATATAGTACAATGTATCCCTGCTGTAAATTATAAGGATATTAGGATTCATAACGCAGTTTGAGGATCGTATCAGGAGACGGCAAGCTGAGTCCATGGAGGGTGTAGAATCCTAAGCTGAGTCCATGGAGGGTGCAGAATCCTAAACTGAGTCCATGGAGAGTGTAGAATCCTAAGCTGAGTCCATGGAGGGTGCAGAATCCTAAACTGAGTCCATGGAGGGTGTAGAATCCTAAGCTGAGTCCATGGAGGGTGCAGAATCCTAAGCTGAGTCCATGGAGGGTGCAGAATCCTAAGCTGAGTCCATGGAGGGTGCAGAATCCTAAGCTGAGTCCATGGAGGGTGCAGAATCCTAAGCTGAGTCCATGGAGGGTGCAGAATCCTAAGCTGAGTCCATGGAGGGTGCAGAATCCTAAGCTGAGTGCATGGAGGGTGCAGAATCCTAAGCCGAGTCCATGGAGGGTGCAGAATCCTAAGCTGAGTCCATGGAGGGTGCAGAATCCTAAGCTGAGTCCATGGAGGGTGCAGAATCCTAAGCTGAGTCCATGGAGGGTGCAGAATCCTAAGCTGAGTCCATGGAGGGTGCAGAATCCTAAGCTGAGTCCATGGAGGGTGCAGAATCCTAAGCTGAGTCCATGGAGGGTGCAGAATCCTAAGCTGAGTCCATGGAGGGTGCAGAATCCTAAGCTGAGTCCATGGAGGGTGCAGAATCCTAAGCTGAGTCCATGGAGGGTGCAGAATCCTAAGCTGAGTCCATGGAGGGTGCAGAATCCTAAGCTGAGTCCATGGACGGTGCAGAATCCTAAGCCGAGTCCATGGAGGGTGCAGAATCCTAAGCTGAGTCCATGGAGGGTGCAGAATCCTAAGCTGAGTCCATGGAGGGTGCAGAATCCTAAGCCGAGTCCATGGAGGGTGCAGAATCCTAAGCTGAGTCCATGGAGGGTGCAGAATCCTAAGCTGAGTGCATGGACGGTGCAGAATCCTAAGCCGAGTCCATGGAGGGTGCAGAATCCTAAGCTGAGTCCATGGAGGGTGCAGAATCCTAAACCGAGTCCATGGACGGTGCAGAATCCTAAGCTGAGTCCAGGGAGGGTGCAGAATCCTAAGCTGAGTGCATGGACGGTGCAGAATCCTAAGCCGAGTCCATGGAGGGTGTAGCATCCTAAGCTGAGTCCATGGAGGGT